TGAAAATCACGCGAAATACACATTTGACAAAATGTCGTACGTTCGCGTTATGGACGCGAACTTGTACTTTACCCGACACAATCGCCCGAGATACTTTTCTCGACACTCCCGATACTTACACGCGCTCACTTAAAGGGACGATACTTATTCCCGGTGACACGAAATCGTCGAGCATCGCGCTCGATCGCGGTTAAAGCTTTGCCACAAGCGACTCGAAGCCACGCGCGCGATTTATCGCGGTTAACTTCGCAACTTTCCCGATTCTGCTGAAGTTAGCCTAAGATTATATCTGTCGTCCCAGGTAGAACATGAAACTCATAATGACATCATTATGACGTCATCATGATTTTATTTATCACTTAAAAGTTACCTAAACAAAAATGATTAAAAAATGAGTTAAAGGTGACAAGAAGAATAATAAATTTTTAAGTTCACTAATCGCATTATATAATTTTAAAAAGATTATGTTGCTTAAATATAATTAAAATATACATGAATAATTAAATAAACAAATAATTGCGTAATATATATAACAAATGATATTATGATTGATTCTTAAGATTTCATACGCGAAGTATATACAGGGTGTCCCAGTTATCTTCCGTCATCTTTCAAAGACAGATTCCTGGGATCATCCGAAGACGATTTTTCCTCAACGAAAATGTCGAGGCACTAATAATTTTTGAATTATAAGTGATTGGAAATAAGGGGTTTTTCGTAAACTAAGCTTTGTAGAAATAAAATATTAACAAAACCACATTCTTCGATTAATTTTAAATAGAGTTTACTTCAGTTGAGTTTTAATTTACTTTAGTTGAGTTTTAATTTAAGACTTAATTGCAAAGATATATAATGACAAAAATCGGGAACATGCAAAAAATGATGGCCTTCATTGATATTTTTGCTAAGAAAAAATCGTCTTCAAATGATCCCAGGAATCTGTCTTTGAAAGATGACGGAAGATAACTGGGACACCCTGTATATTCTCCAACAGAGTTCGCTAGAATTGTTTAATATCAAAAATAAGTCCAAAACATTGCCAAAAGTATATCAAATGAGATCATTATGATTTTTCTAAAATGACCTTTAGGTGTCGTCATAATGATATCATTATGAGTTTCATGTTTTACCTGGGGTACGACAAATTTTTGAAGCACATTGATTGGCTGCGGAATAGTAATTTTTTGAGTCTTTAGAAATTTTTTACTCCAGCCAATTAATATGTTTAAAAAATTTGTCGTACGATAAATGTAATATTAGCCTTAGGGCTGATCCGATTCCGAGATTCCCAGTTTATCCTACACTATTTTAGTCAAGCGTGATTGACGTGTCATCGATTATTTGAACGCTAATTTCTGTTAAATGTTTCATTAACATTAATATATGTATATATTAAATATAAAACCGTGTTATCAATGCTCGAGTGAGACTCACAAAAGACTCGAACCAACGCGAAGATACTGAAGAACTTTGGAAAAGTGGAGGCCGGGTGCAAGTGATTCTCGGAAAAGAGCTACTTTATTTAGTATAGGTAGTATAACTGACGCGAATAGGGCTACGTGTGTGCATGTGTGTAGTAATTTGTTACAAGTGTGGAGATGTATTATATTACTTACACACGGCCAATTTCGATAGAAATTGAAACAAGATAAGTGCGTCTTTAAAAGGAGAAAGGGTACAAGAGAAAGAGAGATGGACGGAGAGAACGAAGCAAAGTACAACCGGACTCGTTTCCGAGAATTTCCACTCCTCGTACACGGCATCCTCGCATTTTTCGATAATAGTTTCTCGCTTAGTACCATCTTGACTATCGCGAAGGTTAGTTTGACTCTTTCTCGCTCGTGTATCGCAGGCCTTGGTAATATTTAATATCAACAGATAAATTAATTCTCTAAATATCATATAATTTATCAATAACTATAGGATAATATATTATTATTAATAACTATAGGATAATATATTATAGGATAATATATTATTTATTATCAATTTATTATAAATTAATTCTCTAAATATCATATAATTTATTAATAACTATAGGATAATATATTTTTATTAATAACTATAGGATATATATATATATATATATATATATATATATAAAATATATTATTTATTATCAAGAGATAAATTAATTCTCTAAATATCATATAATTTATTAATAACTATAGGATAATATATTATTATTAATAACTATAGGATAATATATTATAGGATAATATATTATTTATTAATAACTATAGGAAACTTTATTACATGATATTTGCATCTATTCGATATATATATATATATATTAATGTCGCGTTTAATAAAAATTAGCTCAAATAGCTCATGTGGCGACAACTATATTCAGTTCGCGTAATACAAACTCGGAATTCGGAATCGAACCGAAATGTCGCGTCTCGGAACGCGGAACCGGAAATTGAGATATTCCGTCGTTTCCGCGTTCGTTGCACGCGATTATTTGTGACATCGGGATGCTTGTGGTGATATATAATTGCGATCTAATATTGTAAGTGTCAAAAAAACTCTGCGTAATCGTGCGCGCATAAAGAGTTCTTAAAAAACGTATTAATAAAATGAGGGGAAACTAAATTACCGAGAATATAAATATCGCGCAGTAAGCGTGTAATGTCGGGAATCGGGGAAAAAAGTACCGGGCAATTGTATCACATAAAAATATACAGTGTATAAGTGTATATAGTGTTAAATAAAAATATAAATATAGTGTGACAGTTGCATGCAATAAATTCTGCGAGACCAATCAACGTCGAGCTGTCATGTTGCTCCAGGTATCATTAAAGTAAGTGTTAAAATTGAAATCGAGGATAAATATTAGTAGCTAAAAAGTATAAGCATGCAATATTGAAAGTGCTGAAAATAAGAACCGAGTAATTATACGCAAAGATAGTATATCGAATTGACAGAATGAAAACGCGCGACAATTACGTCAAATAAAAAAAAATTCGTTCGTGTAGCTAAAAGCAATATGGCCAAACATATAACAGAACAGTTGATAAATAAAAATTGCCGTATCATTTTTTTTGACAGACTTTACGAGACACAAATCTATTCGAATTTAATATTATTTTTGTTCTGTTTTTTTTTCTTCTCTTTTTATAAACGACATTTTTCGAGCACAATAGGGTCTTGCACCTTGAAACGCTCCATAAAATATGCAGTTTGATAAAAATTGATAAGGAAACTTTTAAGCTGAATATTTATGGAACATCTGATAAGAAATTAATCAAGGAGGGAGAATCGATTGTTAAAGACAGGGATTTGCACGTTTCTAAATACAATCCTGTACGCGTTCTAGTCCCATATCCCCGAGCTACGCACGAAAATGAACCGAAGATGGCCGATCCTAGTCGAAGAGAGGAGAGTCGCGAGTCCCAGGGTGTTTCGAACGGGGATAATAGAGCTGCCAGAGAATCGAAATCTCGTCGATATTTTCCTATTTTAGATGACGTTATCAAATATTACAAACGCTCGCACGAAACGCACATCGATAAATATGATTGTCGGCGGGCAAATCTGTCGCACGCAAAATGTCAATGAAATTTCACGCCGCGGTTTCAATAATAAATCAAATAATATTGAATGATGGTTCATTTATGAGGTTGGATTTAACATCGCCCATTTCTATTCGGGCAGGGCTCGATGATGCGTTATATATCTCTGTACTTATGTTAGCTGCATCGTTGAAATTTTCATCAGACCATAGGAGCAAATCCGCGTCGCATGAAATATTAGTAAAGTATCGCATTATGGGGCTTATTTGTCCTACTTAATAAATGAATTAATAATTTGACACACATTTGACGCAACATCTGTTTTTAAATTTCGTTTCTTTACATTTAAATATGAAAAAGGTGCATCTTTAAGGATGTTTTGTATGTACAATCTCAGCAAAAAGTAGCTGAAAATCAGTATCGACGAACTTTTGGTGTATTTTGAGTAAGAAATTGCGTGAAATATTACAATTTGATCAGAGATGTATTTTTTAATATTTATTTATTGCGTTTTTAAGAAATATTCCGAATTTTGTTAATCGAAATGATTAACTTTTGGCAGCGAATTTCACCTTGTGACAGATACATGGCTAACTTCATTGAATTATATTTAATATCTTTTTAACCAGTTAGTACTTGTATAATATTATTTGACCAAATATTTCCTCTATCTAAACTTTTGCAAATTTTAAACAAATTCTGAATATTGTTTCCATGTGTTTTTGTCATTTGAATCGATGTGGTTATACGTTTCCCATAAGAACACATGTTAATTCGGTGCAAATTAAAATTCTTATAACTTGTGAACGCTTTAGTGAATCGATTTAAAAATTGTACTGAAGATTCTAAACATATGTAAGAACATTCTGTACAATTTTCATTAAATTCTCAATATTTTGAAAATAGGTACAAAACATCCTTAAAATGTCAGACTCAGAAATGTCGATTCTTCTTGTTATTCGCCAGAAAATAGACATTCTTTTTATGTTTCAATCCACCTCGATGAAATAATGCGAAATATTCGTCTTTATTTCCTTACCACTTCATCTTGGTATATATATTTACACGCAGAAATGAAAAGCTTCGACTTAAAGAAAAACACACAGGGTCCCGTTTAAAGAGATAAGGCGATCTGTCACCTGTTTTCCTCTTTCTCGCGTCTGAAAAATCCGGCAGCGGTATCTCATTTATTCCACGAAGAGCCTCAACGAGAGACCGAAATACCGAGAAATCATTTTTTCGCTATCTCTAATAGTTTCCGAGAAAAGAGATGCTTCTAACATACACTTTACATAGTCCGGCGTATACACGGAATTACACATAAAATCACACACACACACACACACACACACACAAAATCACCCGCTCGCGCGCCCGTCTATAGCTCTGCTTCTTCCCGACTCGGTAGATGGCGCTGGACGGCGCGCTATATTCTCAGCTTTTTATCCGGGCGCTTGCGTGCCCCGCGCCAGTCGTGCATCGGCCTTCGCGTCAGTGGTGTCGGTTACACTCGCTTTTTTTCCCTGTCCGTATCTGTTTTCGTTTGGCGCAAACGACCGACCCGAGGCGGTGCTTGTGAAACATACGCACAGTTGGCAAACCGTCAGTACGCAACATGCGACCGAGCGACCCTCGAATCGCGACGGGCGACCGCCGGTCGTCCGGGTGACGTCTCGCGACCGTCCCCCCCCTCCCCCCAATCGCGAGTGACATCAAACGCGGCGGTAAATCGCGATCGATCGAATCGGCCGAGGATCGTGCTCAATCTCCCCCTCACCCTCGATCCTCTCCAGGAGGATGGATCGTTTCTCGGAGCGACGACGCGCGCGCGACTGTTGACATCGCTCGCTCGCGAGACCGACTCCCGGTTCGACGTGTGCCCGGTGTGTGCGCGTAGTGCGGGCCTTCTCCTCGTAGAATGGACACTCGCCGTCGCGACGACGGCGTTGTCAGCGGCGCGGTGCGCGCATCGATCAACCCGTGAGGCCAGGCGAGGGCGAGACAGAGAAACGTCAAGTTCGCCGAGGGCTCTCTCCCGGCCGTTTCGTCCTCGCGTCGCGATATACCCAGCTGTATTATAAGGCCCACGAGAAGGAGGAATGGACGTGACTCGTCGCCGCGTCCTCCCCGTGCAATGGCAGACGCGGATCGCCCGACGGCCGACGCCGCTCCTGTAGACGACGATCGACGACGGTGATCGACGACCACTCGTATCGATACGCGGATACATCGTTCGAGCGCGCGCGCGCGCGCGACGCCGAGTCCCGCGGAGTTGTGTGCCTGAGTGCGTCGAGTAAATAAATAGGAAGAGGGAAAAACACGGGATCGCGGAGGAACGGAAAGAGCGTCGGATATATTAATGAAGATGCGCCGCGGATTGATCGATCGGTTGCTCCTGCTAGCGGCCTTCGGAATCACGGTCCAAGGTAAGTCATCGAGTCCCTCCCTCTCGTTCCTTCACCCCTTTGTCGAAACGCGTATCCCCCCCGGATCCCAACTATCCTCGCTCCCCTTTCCAGCGATTCTCCCTAGCGATTTTGCGGCTCCAGCGTCCCCTGTGTCGCGCGTAAATAATGTATACGGGGTGTCCTCGTTGTACGCGACGCCGATTCGACGCGTTTAAAGGAAATCCCGGATATTCCCACGGATATTCTCTCGATCGCGTTTACGGCAGATGCGAGCACAGGCTCGGGAAGCGATTCGATCAGCATCGCTCTTCGCGACGGCGGCTGCGGCGGCGAATCCTATTCGCATAAATTGATTTGCGCACCCTCCCCTCCCACCCGTGTTGTTTCACCGATCTCGTTCCCGTCGAATCCGCGCGAATCGAGTTGGCAAGCAACGAGGACGCACTTTGCGACTTTGAGATTTGCTGGTTGAAATCGACGAAAATGGACTCGAAGCTCTCTCGCACTTTTTCATCGCTTGATCGAACGTTAAAAAAAGTTGAAAGGAACATGATTTTTTACTCCCGTTCTTTTCTCGTCGAGCGTGGAACGTACGGTGCATCCTTTTACTAGTTTCGGGCTAGTATTTATTTACGAGTACATTAGCTTACGTCTGTAGCCAAACATTTGCATTACGGATGAAACAGGGGAGATAAGATTCATGTGGCGCTAAACAAGAAGCATGAGCGAAAGATAAACAAAAAGTAATTAATATACGTTCTGATTCCGATCAAGAATTATTGAGATATATTTGCAAATACTTTTTTCATCTGATTCCTTAATAATAAAAAAGAAAGAAACATATGAGAGTGATTCACGTATAAATTATACACAGAAAAAAAGGACATTCTTGTTTTGAAAATATATTTAGTTTTAACATGGAAATCTCGAAATGAGATTATATTGCGTTAATTAAAGAAAAATATAATTGCTTACTTGAAAGAAGCCATTTTACATAATTCGAGAAAAATATATTCTTATTCTCTTCTTATTTAAGATTTAATTTTCTCGAATAGAAAAGAAACAATGTTGGATAGAAAATAACATTTTTAAATCAGAGATTATAATTTTCTTAAAGTAGAATTAAATAATTATATATTTTCAAGATGACAATTATAATATTAAAGAAGACTATAATATTGTTGAAATTTATTGCAATGTGAATGTTATTAATTGCATTTCCGATTGTGTAAAAAATAATACTCGGTCGCGATCAAAGTACAAACAACTTTAAATCGGTTTAAACGGGGAACGATTATTAAAGGTCTCCGAGGAGCGCTTCGATTCGTGTCTCTACTAATACTTACGTACGAGCCCCGAGTATCATTTCGTTCGAAATCAATTCTGTTAACCCTCAATTACTTTGATGGAGGCGCACATCTGACCCCGATGCAGATAGCTTGTGAGATATCACTTTTATCTTGAACTCTGACTCGTTATATTGCTCAAATGATTTTCACTTTTTCCCCCCTTTTTATCCTGCGCCTAATTAGGGCGCAGGTTATTCCCTTTGATGATGATACACGCTAATTTCGACGAGTTTATTAAATTTTACCTCACCCGATTTTTATTTCACGTAGAGATTTTATAATCAACGCGGTATATCGAGTTATTTTACAGACGTATATTCGCCCTCTGATCGTAAATGAAAAATTCACATTACATTTTCGAATGGTAATCATAAAAAATACAATATTGTTTTTCATAGTTATTTCAGTATATTATAATTAAATCGGTAGCAGCTGGAAACTTTCTGTTTCTGACAGGGCGAATTGTGCATGTGTGTGTTTCTGTTTTTGTTTGTTTTTTTTTTTTTTAATCTACGTAATGTAGAAAAAAAGCACTCGGCAAATTTTGCTCTCCGTTCGATATCAGATTTATGCTTAAGATCAGATTTATGCTTAAATGATCACGAATATATAATTTACCTGGCGCGTTATACGCGGCTGAGTATACCGCGCTCCACCGATATCGGGTGTAAGAAAAACAAGATCCGAGGAATATTAAGGGAAAGTTTTCCGACGCGGACGGGTTATTTATTTTAGTAGTTTCCGCGCGGCGACCGTCTAAAAATAGACGGTGATACGGCTAGAGGCGCGGTAGGCTTTTTTTTTTCGATGCTCTATTTTTGTTTGCGACGCGATGTTTATCGTTATTCGAGCAAAACTTTACATCTCCATTCTTATGCGACCGTCGCATCGCGTTCTATGTATGCGATGCAAACGAGCGTTTCAAGATATTTCGCGTCTATTTTTTCAGAGCGCGTTTATTTTTTCAAACGAATAACGTAATAATTTTGTCGCGAGCGCGCATCAAGCTGGATTAAGAATTAAGTGGATTTTCCGTGGATTGCTCGCAGACAATATTATCGATGTTTGCGATATATACACTGAGAAAAAAATTATTTTGAAATAAAAAAATTTTAGTTAACTCAAGAAAGCTATTTATTTGGTGGGTACTTAATATAATATGCGTATTTAATGAAAATTAAATGCTTTTGCTTAAATGAAATAAACAATTCCTTCCATTTAAAGTAAAAGTTTGAAGAAAACAAATTTATTTGATTTAACAAAATTTTTCTCTCGGTGTAATCGAGGGAAAAATTTTGTTAAATCAAATAAATTTGTCGAATCGAAGATTTTGACAGTCATCGTGCGATCGCAAAAGTCGGTCAATTTTTGTGCAACGCACGATGAAGAACGGGCCGTTGGGGTTTATTGTGGAATTTCGAATGAAGTATAATATTCATTGCTCGGTCAAAACTATTTCAATTTCCCCGAAGAGGTATGCGGGAGCAATTCTCTGTTGAACGCAAGACGTTATATTGATTTCCATGTATAATTACGCGCGTGTGCTGGAAATAAGGGTGAGCGGCACGCGACACGATTATGCTAGGCACATTGAACAATGTGTAAATGATAAATTGAGCCAAGTTTATCCCGTTCCGTAAATTCTCGTATAATTCCGAGATTCTCTCTCTTTCTCGTTCCTCGATCGTGTGTGCTCGCTCGTGTTTCGCTGTCTTTTTTCTTCTCTTTCTCTCTCTCTTTTTTTTTACCTCTCGCGCGCGATCGTTCACCTTTTATTACGACTCTTGATGTAATTGTTGCCGTGTTATTGGTTATTACGTGGCGCCGAGGCACGCCGCCCTCGATAGAAAATACCTTTTAAATGTCCATTACGTGCGCGCGCGTGGACAACGATTGATCTTTGGCGCGCGACGCGATTAATCTCCTTCAATCGCCGCCGCCGACAATGCATGACTAAGAGAAAAAAAGAAATCGCAGTTTATACAACGAAGAAGAAAGGCCGTTTGCTTTTGCAGGTGTCACGCGCGTAAGAAGCTATCCGTGTCCCTCCGACTATTCATGCCCCTTTAGAACTCCTTTTCACGCACAGGCGGTTTTCTCTTTCAGCCTCGCGCCATATTTGCCGGCTCCCAAATGAGCGATGCGTTTGAGCCGGGATGTACAAGTGACAGTTTTGTAAGACACGAGCCAACGTATATATATATATATATATATATCTTGCTAAAGTCGCTTTTACGGCGGCCAGACACGGATGGCATTTTTTTAACATCTTTTTACTGCCGTAAAGATTATCGGCAGTAAAAAGCAGCTAAAATCTGTGTTACGTAGGATATTTTATATACGAATATAATATGTGCAATTTAAAGATTCATGTACAAAATATATGTTAGAACACGTATCATGAAAAACGTGATTCAGTTGAATTATTTTTGGAAGATTCCTCCAAGGTGCATGTGTCAAAAGTGTTTTTATATATATATATATATATATATATATATATATATATATATTGTAAACTGTATTTTTGTATTTTTTATATTTTCATATTTCCCATATTCCCTTATTTTTTATCTCAAAATATAATATATATCACGCCCTCGATATACATATCTTCTTTTTACTTCTCTCACGCGGTATGTTTTCGCAAAATTAGCTTGCGGATGGTGCCGTGGACGGAAAATTTCGTCAACGACACGCGAATATTGGCCCGTGCGATCGCGATATGAAAGACGCCAGCATTCGAATTTTCGCATCGCGTAACTTTACGAGGCATTTTCCCGACCGCGGCGCCGAATCGTCGCCGTCGATACTCGACGGGGAAAGGGAAGGCTCCCTGCCTTTTATGCGGGAGACATAAAACGCGTTGCCGCACATTTTTGCCTTTGCCGTTGATATCCCTCCCAGCATATTTGCGATGAAAGTGTTTGCAAACTAGAAACCGCTTCTCATGCGGCCAACTAGGCGTGGTTACTCGCGATTCGCGATGCACGATGCTCGATGGTATTCTTTGTATCGTCGTAATAAATCGTACCGTCAATCATACCATTTAGCAATAATATTGTGTTCGTGTGCGCGCCTAAAATTTGTAGGTTTATCGTTAAATATAACAAGATTACGTAAGTTGCATCCTTTCGCATACCTTATATATATAATAATTATTGCTACACATTTTTTTATATTATATTACATTTATTGGCATAAATACTTGAATTACGCTCAATTCCGAGACTTGACGTTTCATTTATCTTTTTCACCTAAATCTATTTAAGGATGTTTTGTAGCTATTTTCAAAATATTGAGAATTTAATGAAAATTGTACAGAATGTCCTTACATATGTTTAGAATCTTTAGTACAATTTTTCAATCGAATCACTAAAGCGTTCACAAGTTATAAGGATTTTAATTTGCACCGAATTAACATGTGTTCTTATGGGAAACGTATAACCACGTCGATTCAAATGACAAAAACACATGGAAATAATATTTAGAATTTGTTTCAAATTTGTAAAAGTTTAGAGGAAATATTTGGTCAAATAATATTATACAAGTACTAACTGGTTAAAAAGATATTAAATATAATTCGATAAAGTTTACCATGTATCTGTCACAAGGCGAAATTCTCTGCCAAAAGTTTATCATTTCGATTAATAAAATTCGGAATATTTTAGT